AAAAAAAAAAAAAAAAAAAAAGAAAAAAAGAAAAAAAAAACGTCGTGAACGAGATATACCTCAAAACCGACGCAATCTCGCTCACTAAATGATTATCACCATTAATATTTCGAAATGTTGCTCGTAAACGATGACCATTAGGGCCCTAAAAAACTCTACTGTGTAACTTTTATCCGACAGGTATAATATGAATTAGTTCTCAAAATAATTAGTCTGACAAATTTGCTGCTAAAGCCAAACAAACTGAATTCTATTGTAGAGCAAAACTAGGTCAACATGTCTCTGACCGCTGGTATTACAGCAGCAAATATGCGATCTTCCGGAATTACTTGACTCCCCTCCATTTGTTGTTGAAAGTCAACACCTAATTCAGACTTAAAAGTGTCCATAGGGCAGAGAGTTCCAGAGGCAAGAATTACTGAACGACAAGATTTAAAAGCATCAAGATAAGCCTGAAAAGTCAGAAACTTAAGAATTCCTGGCTTCATTACATATGGAATGCCTTTTTCCACGATAATGCTTCAGTTCAAAAATAAAGAATTTTGCAATTACTTGTTTACCTTGGGAATCTAACTTAAAAATCTAGAAAACTAATTACTACACCTCGCTGAAATTTATTTTGGTGCCTTAATATGATGTGCATTTATACTAAACACTTCAAGCTTATCACAAGGCCGATGCACCTTATCACAAATAAACTATATGAAACTTGAAACTCTAAGCAACTTTAATGAGCATGAGGTAGGACTGACTGTATATTAGCTCCAGAAAGAAATGAACACTTGAGGTGATCAGCTCAGCCCAAGCACTTTAAGTTTTGTAAAAGATCCATCAAATCATTTCACTATTGCAAAATATTACCAAAGCAGGCCGCATGCACCATAGCTCAAAATTTATACGGTACCCTTGTTTCGCTTCACGGTATCCATTTGGAAGGACTCGGGAGTCAAGCCACAAACGGTCACTTTTATTTGCAAAAGCACCAATATCCAAGACATCAGACCGAAATATCATATAGTGAATTACAAGTAAGTATGAAAACAAATTTTCACCTATAACTAAACGTACCGGCTTTTCAACTCGATTTCCAAATCGACGCTGCTCAAATGGTTTTTCTGCGCATACAAACAACCTGCAAGATCTTCGAAGGTAAAATTAAACCGTGATCATCACAACCTGTTAGTTGGAGAGAAGATCTTACTTATAACACGTTCGGTAGTCTTCCATAAAATAGATTTTAAAGAAGTATATAAACTTTTCAGCGCAAACAAGACTTGAAGAATTTGGTTTGAACAAATCTGCATACTCGTTGCCTCCACAAATATCAGTAAGGGCCTTCTAAAACAAAAAGACCTAGTACAGTCCATTTTTTAGACCACTGACTTAGAGTCAGACTTCAATGCTGCTGTAAAATGCAATATGCATTAATGAAGACTAACAAGTAGTGAGACTAGAGCGCTGCCATTGGTCTTATCCTGAAAACGCAAAAAATTGGCTTCAGTCAACGAAGTGTACAGTCTTTCCCAAGTAAATGTGTGTGCACTTCGACCATCTCTTTCCTTCGCAGCTCCCAATGCTTCTGCAGTCATCACAGAGAACCAATTAAGAATATCGGTCATAAACTTGTTGACCTTGAAAAAACATTATCAGACAGGGGCTCTACCAGATAAAAAACACTCCGTGTTTGAATTACTCTGATCCTCTACCACTAACCACAAAAAGCTTTCTTATTTCTCATGAAATATACCGTTTTAAATGATTCACTTAACTGTCGATAGGTTTCAACATCATTGCCCATAGCCTCCAAACTATACTCGTCAATTAATTCACCCGACTTTGTTAATTTTTTCTTGACTTTTTCGAGGGCTTTCTCAACTTCATTTCCTAAAGTATAAATCTTGTAGCATTTCCAAAAGTTGATAATCCCACTAAAGTTAGAAATAATAAACATTGAAAAACTTTTGAAAAGCGAGGTAAGTTATCTAGCCTCTACTAACTTTTCAAGAAACAATAACTATGAGCTTTTAGATTCTATTAAATGATCAGAAGAAAGCCGTAAGATAAAGCCAAAAACCTTTATGGTGAAGATCCAAACAGGTACTGGCGATTTCTTTCTCTGTAAACGAAAAACTTGCAGATTCTCGGCAAACATCTTCAACATTATGAGCCTCGTCTAATACGACTACTGCATTCTTTAAACTAACATCAGAGTTATCACGTATAATTGGGTCTAAAATAACTCTGTGTAACTACTAAGGACGAAATACCTGTTGTAAGCATTGGCAAAAATAATGAAGAAAATACTGCAAGTTTACAGAAATTTAGAACTTATTTAACGCACCTAACATATAATTAAACGGACAAAATATGATGTCTGCATCACTGGTGAGGACACGTGTTGAGACAAAGTAAGGACACAAGGGTGGGGTCGATGAAGAAAGAGCCTTCACTAAATCTTCTATGTCCCAAACATTGTCCGACTTTTCAGAACTTGAACCGATCAATGATCTAGCAGCAACCGGCCTTTCGTACTTCGGTCGCATATTGTTCTTATACATACAGCCTGCCTAAAACATAGCTCTTTCATTTAAAAACTGATCATCAAGAAACTTTAAAGCTGAATTTTCTTCAGTCGTTTGAGAAACTTAAAACACCAGAGTTACGTGGAACAAAATCATAGAAGTAATTGACAAAGCAAAAAATTTTGAAGCTCGTGTAACGACTGACCAAATTACCAGCCACAGCCTCCAAACAATGAGCATTCTAAGATCTATTTTTTTAAAGTCAATTTTTCAATGTTGAAATAAATCTTTCATGACTTACTCCTTTAGACCCTATAAGTTCCGCACATTTATTTTGTAAATCACCTCCACTTTCATGCACTACAGCATTGATACACGTATGTTCACGACTTGCCAAAATCGTATGCCTTCAAAAACACCAGCTTTCAAAACAAATACTCCCTTAACTTAGAATTTAAAAACCGACAAGTCGTAAGAAGCTGAACAAAAGAAGGCCCTTCAACTACAAAAAGAACAATGCGCTAAATCTACAAAAAAAAGCTACAGAAGTAACAGGTACCCATAAATACACAAAATTGCATACCGAAAAGCCCTTCAGAATAAAAAATATAAAAAAGCCACCCAAGTTTCCAGAGTATTGCTACTGAATAAACAAACTTTAAATAAATCATATTGAACTGCTTGATACATTAAATTTGGCTTTTAAATTACAATCTGTCCACCGAACACAATAATTTTTCCACAGAAACTTCTGGTTATCACCTAATCTCCTACTTTATTGCCGACATCTAGTAACAAATCAAGCCGTAATACTGATGATACTCACCTCGGAATTTATATAGCAATGTACCAAAGATCCTTTATACCTTACTTTAAAATTCCCTGCTGTCCATATGGCAGTCGCGAAAATTCTTTGACCACTTGCCCAATTTGTTTATGAGTCCTAGTACCATAATATACAGAAACTTTACTGAAAGCGAGAATACACTACAATAAAGAAAATTAAAGAAAATTCAGGTGTCTACAAACCTTGAAATCGAAATATCGGACCCAAGAACTTACGGCAAGCATGTGTGTCCCTCGTGACCCTTCGCGTCTTCACCTTCTTCAACTTTCATGCGCTTGGTCCCAAAAGATTCAAAGTCGGTCCCAATCTAAGTAACTCAAACTTTGCAAGTTTTGCTGTTGGAAAACCAAAAAATTATTTTTCTTTCCTAAAGCCTCGTTTCGATGAAAGAAAATTTGTATTATAAAAATAAAACGAAAGTAAAAAACAACCATAGACTTAAAAGGAACCCTCGAGACGAAATCCATATCAAATTCCTCTTCAACTGA